CTCTGTTTCACCTTATAATGTACCGCAGGAAAGGCTACAAGCGAAAGCTTCTTGCTCTGGGGCAGATCTCGGCGGCACAAGGTCTCGTGAATTAATGCCTCGTTCACACTTGCGAACCGGCGGCCGGATCCGCGAGAATTCTGACGCCCGGCGACAGAAGCAGGCAGAATATCAGGCGGAGAGCAATATCGCTCTGGGACCAATTTTGAACGCCGGAAAAATGTTTTCTCTCGCCGCAAGCCAATCAGAACGCACGGGGGAAGTGGCGCTGATGTCAGATCCCCGCTGACGAGCTGGCAACGATGGCAACGAGACGCGCGCGGGCAAGGAGGAGGTTCGGGAGCTCTCGTCAGCTCTCGTCTGTTCGGGAAACTGCGAGACGCTCGCGCCGCGCACTCCGCAGGCGGCAACAAATGTGGACCGCCCGATATTTTTTCGGCAAGCGAGTCCAGTCGGCGGCGAGTGCGTATTTCGCAAGTGTGAACGAGCCATGAGAGCAGCTGCCAACGCCATGAGCTCGCGGTTCCAGCCTTCGCTGCGGTACCACATAAAGGGAAACGAAGTATAGGCAATGGATAGATGGATGGATGAATCCGGCTAAGCCCTTTGGATCGGGTGGTAGCTTACACCACCTAACTATTTGGTTTTACCATTTAAGCTTAGAATATTTAAATTTGAAAACTATGTTCACTCCGCACTGAGAAGAAAGTGAGGCTATAAAACCGCCTTGCCATTAGTTAATAAGAAAATACCTAGTTTTCTCCCGCTTTCTGCCATCATTCACTTAATCTTTGCTTGGTAATCTCTACTGTCTTGAAATCCACTTTTCCTTCGCTGTCTCTAAAACCAGGGTGTCGAACCGGTCATTATTTCGGTTTGGTTCGGGTTCGGGTTCAGTAACGTTGTGTTTTGTTCCGGTTCGGTTCCGGTTTAGGGTAGCGCACATAATATCACTCGGGTTACCGGTTTTGATAAACGCGAACCGGTTCGAACCGGTTCCTAACTCGACCTTTTAATATTGACCGAACACTCACTGCAGCCTTTTCTGAGCACGAGATACTTGCAATAGACCCCATCCCAATACTACTCCGTCTTCAGGAAGATATGAAAACTCTGCACAGTGACGTGCGCAAGACACCATTTATGTGGCCAGGCTATCTGCATATAAGTGATCGGCTTTTCATTTTTATGGTGTCGTGCACGTGCAGCTGTGCAGTACTTAAAGCTCTGCCAGAAGAGGGCGTATTTTCGAGACGGGTCTATAGACCTTTCCAAAACAGAGCTTGTGGCCGGTGTCATCTTTAGTTTTCGTGCGTATAGCGCGTGCTTTGCTCGCTTTTCGAAGCGACAAACACGCACGTGCTGGGCTGTGAAGATCACACGCGGGGCTGTGACTTTGTGAACAGTAAAAGGTCTTTAGCTAGTTTGCTTGTCCTCCGTAGGTTTTGGTTTGTTTTGCTTGTTTTGCACACACGTGTTTTTATACACGCTACCTGCTTTTGGCACCCAGTAAGATGTCACAGCTATGCCCCAGAGTGGCTGACAGGGGCACGAGAGGAAAGAAATGTGCCGTAAAACACAGAAACAGGTACGCCGCTTGCGCAGTTGGAGTGGTGTAGCTAATCCCGTTAAGCTGTGGTCGTGTATACGTCGGCCACACTGGCCGATGTGTCAGTGACCGGGCACGTGAACACGCACGTATGCATAATGAGATGTGACCACATCTTCACAGCGCTTCGGGTTCCGGCGGGAAAAACGCTCTTCTAAAGATCTCATGGTGATGCTTTGTCTAGTGACTTTGACTTTTTATCGCAAACAACGCTCTATGCAATTGACCCGGTCTCAGGGACTCAGACCGGCTCATTTGTACCTGTCAGCCACCGAACAAAGTTATGGTAATGCCACCACAGCGAACGACGTTTCTCGAATATTCAGTTGAAGACGATGAAAGAGGACTTGAAACAAAAATGAGAAAATGGTTGAACAGGCGATATGCTGGCCTTGCTACTCTGACAAGCCTACAAAAAAATAGTCATTTCCTTCTCCTCCTACCCCCCCCCCCCCTTTTCCTCCTACCCCTGGCCTCCTTCCAGGTCACGGTGCGTCGGCGAATCATCGTCGAGTAACGTTGCCTCCGACAACCTATTGAAATGGACCACAGGCGACCCTATAAACTATACTGCCGAAGCAGCGCGGTACTTGTCCCCCCTTCCTTCAGGGTGTCGCTGCACTCAAGCGGAAGCGCACGTGGTGCGCCCACGGTGCTCGATTGGCTAAATGGCTCATCGGCTGCAACTACGGTCCATCTTGAGGTCAAACATTCGCGGACGGCCTCCGTGCCTACAGTGGCGCAATCCGCTCCGACACTTGGACATTTCGTAGCCAAGCGGTTTTGAAATAGCCGCCGCCGCTACCGGGCCGGCCAGGGTCAATCCAAGAAACAAAGCAAAGTTGAAGCTCTCCAGACGATGATGTATTTTTGACTACGTATGCAATAAAAACGAAATGTAAAAATATTTCACAGAGTGTAGGATTAGTTTTGGCGACATAAGAAAAATAAACTCCCGCAACTTTTCCAATTTAGACCAATTATTGACACAATTGGCCCTGAACCGTTTTCGTTGAACCGGTAACCGCCACATCAAATTATGGTTTCGTTCCGGTTTCGGTTTTGTTCCGGCTCGGTCAAAAATAACTGTTTTGATCCGGTTTTCGGTTCGGGTTCGGTTCGGGTTCGGTTCGACACTCTGTCTAAAACCCAATGACTTTATTAAATCTATGTTGTCTTCGGTAGGCATAGGGTGAAGCCCTTTACAGTAGAGCATCAAGTGCTCAGCCGTTTCGTCCTCCTCTCCACAAGCAGTGCGCACTGTATCCATTTCCTGGTACTTCGTTCTGTATGTTCTGGTTCGCAGAACACCCGCCCTCGCCTCAAACAACAATGAGCTTCCCCCAGAATTGTCATAAATGCTTTCTTTGGCAATAACTGTTTTGTTTAATCTATAGCTTTCCAGAGCCGTCTTTGTCTGCATTCCGTCTAGCCACCGATCTCTTTCTGTGGCCTTAACTTTCTTCTTAACTGAGACCTGCTCTTCTGTAAATCCACTATAGCCTAAAAACTTTCCTCTTAATTTCCTAGTGCGCTGTCTCCACTCTGTGTCTATACTCCTCATGTATATATAGCTGAAATCCTTTTGTGCCCATTGGTCCCCATCCATTTGCCTCAACCGATTCTCAAATTCCATCTTGCTCACCGCTTCCCTGCTCTCAAATGGCGCCCATCCCATGTCTTCTTGTACTCCCTGGTTTGGCGTTTTGCAATGTGTCCCCAAAGCCAGCCTACCTACTCCGCGCTGTTTTATTTCTAGTCTTGCATGCACTTCGGATTTCATGCATAGCAGTGATAGCACTGCGTTTCCAAAAGTCAATCCAGGGACCATGACCCCTTTCCAAATCTCTCTCACCACCTCATACCTGTTGTAATTCCAAAGTGCTCTATTTTTCATTACAGCTGCATTTCTGTTGCCCTTACCTATTATATACTTTTCACGCTCACTGAGATATTCCGCACCATCACATATCCATACTCCTAGATACTTGTAGTTACTAGCTCTCTCAACTGTAATATTCCTCTCAACTTCATCATTGTTAAAAATCATGACTGCTGATTTTTCACTACTGAATTCTAAACCTATTTCCTCTCCTTCCCTACCACATATGCTCATTAATTCCTGCAACTCTGTCCTGTTGTTAGCCATTAGTACGATATCATCCGCATACATCAATCCCGGCAAGGATTGCTGAATTTTCTGGCCTAGCCTACTGTACAAAAGGTCGAATCCAAGCCCACTATTCTCTAGTCTATCCTCCAATCCTCTAAGATTCTCACGCGTTGACGCTACCAAGCGGCCAGGCTCGCAACTACAGTACCTTTGACCGTGGAAGAACTATTGACGTCACGAACGCGATACGCAGATTGCGGCCACGTCATTTCGTCTACGTACCCCTTTATAAGGGTAGTGCGATGATTTTAGTGTTGAAGAAATGGGCAATTTCTCTTTTTTATATTGTTTATCCAAGCACAAGTTGGCAAAAACGCGTCACCTTGCCCCAAAAAACTGCTATTTCGGTGCGCAATCGCAAAGAAGAAAACGAAGTATTTGTCGATCTGCAGCCGCTTGGGGTGGTTAACGGAACTGGGGTGTGATGCACTCTGGGGGATACGCGGAAGTGAACAAAACCTGTCCACCTCCGCTGCTACACTCGCCATCACCCCCGTGGTGAACCATCTTGTGTGTCGATCGCTCGCCGCGACCTTCGTCGATGCTATAATCCTTTAGAAGTCGCTAATCGCGGAGGAAGCGGCTGGGGTCTCTGAAGAAAGAACCCAAGGAGAAACCACGTGATCCCCCAGAGTACTACGTCCCTCGAAAGGCGACGTGGAGAGTTGAGAGGCACCTTGACCTTTCGATTTGTTTCATTTTTTAGCATAAAAACTAGCGCTCGCAAGAAAATGCTGTTTTCTGTTCTTCGTTCCATGGGTGACAGTATAATTTCCGCAGTTTATTAGCCGAAATCTGAAAACCGTTGCACCGCCCCTTTAATGACTGAAACGGGTGTCTCGCAAGTTGGGAGCATACGCAATTTTGTGCTATCGATGAGTTTTGTTTTCCAAGACCGCAAAAGCGGCGCCCTCACTCGTTACAATTTGTGAAATCAGCTAGATCTGGCGAATCGCAAGTTTTGGAAAAGTCAGCGAACAGATAGGACACGTTTGCCTTCTTTTGCTGCTTTACGATTTAATTCGTATTTAGACTTTCATTATCAGCTGCCCACTGTCCGGTCGGTTGCATCTTGTGGTTTGCTCAGTTGCGTACGTCATGGAATAGCCTCAGCTATAAGAAGCTTTGGTAATAGTTTCCACAAAGCCTCATGCTGCTTTGCCTGTCGTCCTCTATGGCGTAAACTTGACACGTGTGTTCCTTCTATAATTACAACAGATAAACCCCGCCCACACGACACCCAGCATCGTCGACGGCAGCTTAACCCTATTTGAAAGGTGAGTGTTTTCAACAGTGAATGAAATTGACCATGCCCGATAGATAGATGTACTTTAGTACCGACATAGGGTCTCTAGAGCCTATCTATACGTTATGGCCTCTAAAAATTGCTAGTATCTGCGTCCTAATGACAGGCTTTATCAATACTGAAATCATTGGCAATCTGAATAGATGTAAATTGGTGTATGCCCGAAAACTCCATTGCTAATTTACGAGTTCTTGTTACATGAAATCAGTCGAACGTTGTGACAATACTCCGGTGCCAGCGAGCTGAACAATATAAGAACTACAATTATGGTTTAGTCTCTGACGGTTCGTGTACTACAGTCTCAGTTCGGACACTATAGGGAGCATTCACTGGCGGCCACAGTTGAGTGCGCAGCTGCTCAGCGCTTGCTGACGGCGAGCTTCCAGGGTGCTTTTGCAACGTGGATGGATGGTTGGATGCTAACGGCTGTAGCCTTTATGACGGTTGGTAGCTTGTGCCACCTAGCCGAAAATTAAGAGCCAAATGTATGATTTATTTCCTTCGTCAATTTGTTTACCCTCTGCAATTTCGTAACTATCACCAGGCGGTGTGGGATATCACCAGAATAACCTTTGTGGGATCGGGCAAAAAAAAATAAAACTAAGAACATCACTTCCCGTTCTTTCTCCTCGGCGAGGAAGTCGGCAATTTTCCTCTGGTCAAACCTAGTCGGCATTACCCCGACACCGGGCCCACTGGGTGACTTTGGCTAGAGACTTTGGGCCTGAGTCACGCGAGAGGAGTGTCAATTTTTCATTGTCCTGCCTGCCCCACCTGCGTCCGTTAGTTGTACGTCATTCAATTCTCCCTAGATAATTTCCACCAGTCTTCCAATCACCTCTTTATTATTCAAATGCACTTATCATCCACTCTTCCACTCTCGTCTGCATACCCCAGAGCTCCGGCTAAGTCCGTCACCCCCTCTGGGAGGGCGGGAGCAAGCCCTGTGCACCTCAACACCAGATGTTCTATTGTCTCGTCTTCCCCTTGGCAACGGCACAACGCGTATCCATTTCCTAATAGCTTGCCCCCTATCTCCTACTAGTCCTCAATACTCCTGTTCTAGCCTCGAATAACAGCGAGCTCCCCCGTGAATTATCATACCAATATTCCTTTCTTATTTCCTGTCTTCGTCCTCTATACATACTTAAAGCTAATTTTCCCTGCATTCTTTCCTCCCGCAAACTCTCCTCAGCTTTTTTACTTCCTTTTCCACGGAGGTAGTCTGCTGTGTCCCAGCACTTGACTTCTCGTATCTTAATTTCAGTTTTCGGTTTTTGATTTGTCTATTAATGTTCAAAGTTTTTATATCTAGATGCTTATATGCCTTTCTCGACCATCATGTATCCTCCATGGTATCTAGTCTTTGTTCAAATTTCACCTTACTGCTCGCTTCTCTAGCCTCGAAAGATGCCCAGCCCATGACCCCCTGCACTCCTTCATTTGGTGTATTCCCAGCTGCCTCCAGTGCCAGTCTACCCGCGCTTCTCTGCCGGGTCTCGAAGCTCGACTGGACCTCAGGCTGCATGCATAATACCGCAAAACAACTTCTCAAGACAACCCCGGCACCAAGACTCCTTTCCATATTCCCCTAACAACTTCTCATTTATTGTAATTTCATAGTGCCCCTGCATAATTGCTGCATTCCTTTTTACTTTCTTTTGAATATTTTCTTCTTGTTCTTCTAAGTATTGTTTTCCCTCATTCAGCTATAATCCTAGCTATTAATTTGTCTTCAGGTATTCTATTAAAAAGTCTCGAATCTTCTCATCCTTATAAACTATTTCCTACTTGCCGCTACTCAACTTCAGGCCCAGAGTCTCCTGCTTCTTTACAGATCTTAATTAGCTCCTGTAACATATCCCGGCTATCTGCTAACAGTACAATGACGCCTGCGTAGAACATTCCCGGTACAACTTGATTTACTTTTCTCCCTCTCTCCATATATGACAAATGAACACCTAAATTGCACTCTTCTAATGTCTTTTCCACTTTACTCAGGTATAACATAAAAAAGAAGGTGATAGAGGGCAGCCCTGCCTGAGTCCTCTTTTTTATTTCTGCTTCCGATGTTATAAAAAACTTATTTGTCTATATCTGTTGTGAAAACCTAATCAAGTGTGCATCTAAATCATTCTCTCTCAGTTGTACCCAGAGTGTTTCCTGACGCACATTGTCGTACGCCCTTTTAATATCTAGAAAAACTATTCATAACTGTTTCCCACTCAGCTTCCACTCATCACCTTGATAGTGTGCAGTGCACACTATCGAGGTTGCCTACCTTGGGAAGCTTCTGGTGAACATACCCAGTGAATAGTGCACTTAAATATGGCGTCCAGTGGGTACCCCCTATAGTCGCCAACAAGCTGAGAACGGCAGGGAGAAGCTTCGGTTGTCCCTGCATGTCACGCGAGGTTTCTACCTTCGAGTAAAGTCACTGGATCCTGGGAAAGTAGCGCCAAGCTCCCCGTATGGTCGCCATCTTGGTCCGTGTTTGGTTGCAAGTGTGTCAACGGGCCTTGAAGGTTACTTTGGTGGTCTTCCAATTGCACGTGCTTACTTACACGAGCGGGAACATGGCGGCGGCCAGATGCCCTGTTTGGAATCGTCTACACCCTTTACTTTTAGAGCGCAGCTCTTAGGCGCCCGTTTCCGGGTTGAGCGGCGTCGCCGTTGCCGTCGCCGTCGGCATAACCGTGCGTTGCATTATGGGACGTTTCCATAATGACGTCACACGTGACGTCACATGAATGAATGTGACGTCACGTGAACTTTAGCGGAAAAGTTGCCCCGCTAAATTTAGCACGGAAATTGACGTCACGTGACCTTAACACCAATTCAGTTTTCCCGCTAAGTTTAGTCGGAAACTTTTTGCTAAATTTCCCGCTAAATGGGAGGGGAGCAGGAGAGAAGGAGGGGAGGGTACGGAGGGGGAGGAGGGCATACCCTCCCCTCCGTACCCCCCCTTCTTCCTCCTCAAGAGCTGCGCTCTAATTCGGGCTTGCAGCGAATTGTAAACGTCTTTTTGTTCTGTCTTCTTTTTAGTGAGGCACCGAGACGTTGCTTCCTTTCTGCAAACAGAAACGAGTGCCGTACTTTCGATTGTTTTGGAGCCTGTAAGACTGTCGACTATTTAGATAGTGTTTCAGCAAGACACTGATCCCGAATGGTTCCGCAATTGCATCCGGGTTTAAAACCACCAGATTGAGAAATCAGCGAAGCAGTTACTGCGACGAGAAGTACGAGGTCGGTTGAAAGGAGCAAGTCTACGAAGCCGCGTGGGCCAAGACCTCTTAAACACCGCAAGCGTAGCGCTGGGGCCCTATGTTGCGCTTTTTGGAACTCCCACGGCGACTATGGCGAAGGAAGTGACGTCAACAACGCAGCAAACGCAAATTGGTTGATGATTGGTGAGTCGCGGATGACGAATTTCCGCAGAAGGAAACAAAGCTCAGGTTTTCTTTGTTTTCTTCTGTGGAAATTCGTCATCAGCGACTCTGCCAATCAACATCCAATCTGCGTTTGCTGCGTTGTTGACGTCACTTCCTTCTCCCTAGTCGCCGTGGGAGTCCAAAAAGCGCAACATAGGGCCCCTGGATTTTGTCACCGGAGCCCAGCGTGAAATTGGATACGATTGCTATACGGCAGCACTAACCTCGTGTGCTCGCTGATTGGACACGGGAGCCAGCCGAACGCTGACGCGGCGCTGGCGTCCAATGTGTGCTCGCGATGGCCTCCGGGAGCTGAGAATCCGGCACTGGCCTAGACGTTGCGCGGACCCGATGGCACGTTAGGCCTTCGAAGGAACCGCATGATAGGCCATATGCGAACTTCCTGCAATCATCATCATTCCACGCGGATCCGCCATATTGGAGGGGATTTGCCTACTTCCACCTGTGGATGGACGAGGACAATCTGTAGTCAAGTTGGTTTGTGCATTCGATGGGTTGTTATTTACTTTCTACGCTAAGGCGAAGCGAAAGACGAACTCGATATCGTGGAAAGGAAATTGGCAGCCACGAGGTCCCCAGGCTTGTCACTGAACCAGTGAACTGGGCCATCCAGGTAAGTGAGCGGTCAAAGACACTGTGTGAAGGGTTCGGACTTGACGAGCACTACCTAATATTATTTCAAATCTACGACTTCCATTTCGCCGGGATCAATGTGGCTAGGAGGAAAATATCGGTTTGAGAACCCCCCCCCCCCCCCCCCCCAATTAGTGTACTAGAATATGGGGCATAGCATTGGGACCGGCACGGCTCGGCAATGGGAGTTCGTGAGTGATGCGTAGACAACAATTACGGCGCTGCCAAATCATTCAGCGATTAATGCGTTTTAATCGTTTAATTTTACATTCCTTCATTAATTTATTTTTCTTCGCCGTCCGCTTTGCTTTCAGGAACAACGTACGCATGTCTTGCGGGCGCTCGGATAGCGTACTACTTCGCTTCGATGGGCTCCGCCATCTTATCTCCCATCTGACGCTCGAAACGTTTCTTTTTACCCCTTTTTTAGTACATAATTTTTATTTCTTCACATCGCACATACAAAAGACAACGTGTTCGCTGCTGACGTCATGACAGCGTTATGTGCGCCTCACGCATGTTGGAAGCGCGTTTCATTGGTACAGATGTATGCTTCGGACACGTACCGTTTTTGTAGGACCATGGTGACCGCCATATATCTCAGACGGTAAATGCAGACTGTCATTTGTACGATATGTGGAGTGTGACGGCCGCTTTGCACGCTCTGTCTCCGCAGCCGTGCCATCATCACGTACCTGGTGGACAAGTACGCGCCAGACAGCCCCCTCTATCCTCGGAACGTCGAGAAACGAGCCACCATCGACAGTCTCCTGTTCTTTGATATCGGCACACTCCAGAGGAGCCTCTCCAACTTCTTCGTGAGTTGATTATCTGTCGCCCCTGCTTTGACCGCTTGTGCTCGTCTTCAACATGCGGCCACCTTGAGGTGTCCACGATCCTGACTCTAGCATTACGAGTTTGTCAAAGCTTGTCCCTAAGAGAGACCCTTTTCAAAAGTGCGCGACATTTCGTTGCTGCTGCTGTAATTATCCACGTTGGCCATTGTTTGGGCAACTACTCGGAGCACGCAATGGACGCGAGGGCTGCGTCAAATTTGAAAACAATTTCTGCGTCGGCGTTCTCCAAGGACTCCCTCACACGCTTCGTGCCCAATGGATGGATGGACGGATGTTACTGGCTATACCCTTTGTAGCGGGCGGTAGCTTGCGCCACCCATCCTAACCGCTCATTCACACTGGAAGCGCATCCGCGTTCGCAAAGCGGTTGGGAACGCGGTTGTATAAAGATCCAGTGCAATTGCACGCGCTCTCGATGACATCATGTGCGCGTGCAATTGTACTGGATCTTTATAGACAATTGCAAGCCTGGCGCCACAAGTGGTGCCCCATGCGTGCAAGCGCGTGCAACGCGCGGGTGAACGTAGCTTTGGCAAGCACGTAATCGCACGGGCGTGCCTGCTCGAGCAGAGACATGGCGGCGGCCAGTCACCCAGCTTGCAATCGTCTATACAACCACGTTCGCAACCGCTTTGCGAACGCGGATCCGCTTCCAGTGTGAATGAGCGGTAAGTCTAAGAAAGACGAACATTTGATTCCTCCCGCCCTTCTGATCCAATTTTCTACCCCCTCAAGCCAATTTTCTACCCCCTAACTATCACCAGGTAGTGTGGGATATCACCAGGATGACCTTTGGGGGGATCGGGCCAAAAAACTGAAAAACATCACTCCCCGCCTCTTCTCCCCGGCGAGGGAGTCGCCAATTGTCCTCTGGTCAAACCTTGTCGGCGTTACCCCTACACCGGACCTACTAAGGGACAGTGTTCAGACTTTGGGCCGGAGCCACGCGGGAAGGAATCAAAAGTTTCCTCTGTCTTGCGTGTCCCCAGCTGTGCTAGTTAATGTACACCATTCAATTTTCCCTAGATAATTTCCACCAATCTTCTAATTGCCTCTTTGTGACTGTAATTCTCTTCTCCTCAGTCCCTCCATCGTCGCCAGCAAACCCCAGGGCCCCGGCCAGATCCGTTACCCCTTCAGGGAGGGCAGGACGAAGCCTTGTGCACTTTAATACCAAGTGCTCAAGTGTCTCACTCTCATTATTGCAGGCAGCACATAATGTGTCTATATCCTAAAATTTAGCCCTATACGTCCTCGTCCTCAAAACTCCCGTTGTCGCCTCGAACAGCAATGAACCTCCTAGTGAATTGTCAAGCACATTTTCCTTTCTTATCTCCTGCTTTTGTGACCTGTACACTGTTAGAGCTGATTTATCCTGCATTCTTCCCTCCCACATTTTCCTCTTTGCCTCTTTCACCTTCTTTTCCACTGAAGTAGTCTGCTCGGTCCAACAAATATCGACCACCAATCTTGCTCGATGGATTTTCAAAAAAAGGACTATTCTGGCCGAAACGAGGCTCCTCTGCTTCCACCAACATATTGGTACGAGAAAGAAGACGCTTTCCTGATAGCAGGTTGCAGAAACATTGTGTAATTTGTAAATCAGCACCTTCGATGTTTCTCTTTTTATTTCTTATTCGTTTTGTTTCGAGCACATTAAAAGTCAAAGTAACCTGGCGCTCCCTTACAAGTCTAATTAATATCCAATGAAAGGGGGTGAATTTTTATTAAAACGTACAGTGCACAGTGACACGACAGAAGAGGAGAAAAAATCGTTAAACTTACAACTCAAGTTCAATCGTCAAGGCGCAACCTGATATTCGACGACCAACAACAAAAAAACACGCACACACACTATGACATACCACGAAGACTTGCACACGTTACAAAAAGAAGTAAGGAATTACAATTACAATTATACATTGCTCAGTTGTAACATATTAGTTACAATTACGCTCGCATAAAAGGAAATGGCCTTTACTTCAAAGAGTGATACGTTATTTTCGCGGCGTGACTTTCAACCCTGCTGTAGGCCCGAGAAGTTTGCGTGGCGCCCCCTTACGGCGAACCAGTGTGACGTCACGGCGAGGACAGAATTTTTCCCCGACTCGCCCCTCTCGCCCTGTGGAGGCCGTGACGGCGTTAGCTGTCGGCACGCTCGTTTCTATCCAATTTTTTTTTGTGTGTGTGCATTTTCTTTGTAGGAGGTGTAAATTTTCATATGTTGCTTTATTGTGGTATGGCCTGTAGCTGCAGGTGGAACTTCAACCAACATTTCAGGCATGGCTGACAGGGCAGGCAAAGCATATGAATCGCAGCTGGTATATGAAAATAAAGAAATATGGCCACAGGCCACAATTGCAGGAGCATCACTATAGATTTACATCTCACAGAAGAAATGCTGCCAATGATCTAAATGAATTGGCAGGTTATGTATACTATTTCTTTTTTTTTTCCTGTATCTTTGTTTTTTTAAGATCGCAGAAGCAGAAAAGCTGCATGCTGCTTGAGCCAAATACAGTCTTGGCCATGGAGACAGAATCACAAGTGAGACAGCCCAAGCACAGGGGCAAAGTAAAGAGAAAAAGGAACATTTATTTATATATATTGCTCGTATTTGTTTTTTGCTAAATTCGGATAGTATTTTAATGGACTCCACTGGTGATATCAGTGGACTTGTTTATATCATCCCTCAAGTAATGTACAACAAACGTAAGCGAAGGTGTCTAGCCCGTTATTAGTTCCTTAGGCTCTCAAATTGAGATTCTAGTTAAATCAAATTGTCCTGAAGCTAAAATACCAGAAGCTTCCTCACACAAACTGTCGCCCTTCACGGGTTCCACATTTTCTTCTAGTGCAGCATCTACCACTGGACAGCCGTTCGGATGCTTGCTGTTCCTCCTGTTTTCCTCTGTCGTCAAAGAGTTCAGCAGTAGGGGGTTTGGAGGCTGAGGAAGCTTTTGGGGACCTGCAGCAGTGTCTCTCTTAATTGGAAATGACAATTCAAACCAAACGGTGTATTTTCCGAATACCCAAGGCTGGAATAAAGAATGTCAGAAAAAAGTATAAACATTATAAATTACAGTACTATTGCTGCGCATATTTTGGGCAGTTCAATACATCTTATACGGGCAACTGGGAGCAATTCTGTAGTTTTGCCTGCTACCACACAAACTAATTTCCAGTAATTCTGCATCTTCGAAAAAATAAAACATGCCTGCATACGTGTGTGAACTATATCATTAATTCACGAAGTAGCTACATTTATGTAAACCAATCCTGTTCCACGAGCACTTGAAAGGCCTTCAGACCCAGGGCCTTTAAAACATCTGCGAACCAGCGCATGCAGAGTGACACGCACAGAATCGGGGTTGCGAGCTAATTAGCCGATCGCCTAAAGGCCCTTGATATAAATGCCATTTCAAATGCATGCAAAGCGGGATGTAATATGCTCCTAAATCATGAACATGCGAGGAGCAGAACTGCAGCGTCCGAAACACTTACGCCGCCGCTTCACCGACCCCTCGCATTATTGCCTTGTGTTGTGTAGACGGACGAAGAGGTTCATCGGCGGAATTGCCTCCGCCGATAGCATCGGGATTTGTAATACAATTATAAAGGTAAAAGTGACAAGCAGGCTTATAAAATTTACGGGGAAGCACGTCAATATCGGCCTAACCCGGCGTCTTGTACACCGGGTAAACAAGGTCCCGCTCCTCGAAGTTCTTGAGGCACACAACGGCCAAACCAGGAAACCGGTGCAGGGAAGCAAGCCGGATGCGAGATCGCGGAGCGTAGTCCTTCCCTCGTCACGGTACACCTCACCCAATCAGGGCGCGGCGACCGCAGCGACGCTTGTGTTCGCTCTCAAGGCTAATAGGGCAAGAAAAAAAAAAAAAGCACGAGTGTTATGGAAGCGTTTATTGTTGCCGCAACCCACACCTCTGTGGCCTCGAGCAACATCTGGCTCCCAAAAGTGTCATCGGACATTTCGCCTCGTTTCTATGCGAAGATGTCGTCCGCCGCGCTGAACAACTTTCCAATCCGCCTTTTTCCAAATGGGTGCTGCCATCTGGACTCGCGACTGGGTTCCAGATTGAGAGGCTAGAAAACAACGCGCTCGCAAGGCCTCTCTGCCCGTTCGACACACCCAAAACGTCAGCTAGATCCTGCTGGCCCATTGGGACGCTATGGCCTAGATACGCCCCAGCAAACTTCGCTTTTGTCCCCAGTGTAAATTATCCTCGTCGATAAAAAGTCACTTATTTCCATTGAACAGAAGAAAGAAAAGACAGAGTGAAAGGGCAAAAATAAAAGGCGAACACAAATTAGCTACACTAGCTCGTGTGCACCTTGACCTTATCTTTTTGGTTAAAGCGAAACATTTTGACTTCGGGAGTTTGCCTAATATTGTTTGCACAAAAAGTCCGGTTCTTTGTCATTGACTCATTGTCCTTTCACCTTCGTTGTGCGCGAGAAAGCTGACGAGTTACGATTTGTAACCAACCAAGCCAAAACAACAAAAACATTTGATTTGATTTGAGATTATAAGTAACGTGAAGAAAGGCTTTGAGCATCTGAAGAATGCCATACCTTGCGTTTTTTAAGTAGAGATGGCGATGTGATTCTGGTAGATCAGGTGAGAAATTCTGGTAAATATAGCTTTGTTTACTATTTGTTGCCAATATTTAAAATGCCCACATCTTTCCTCCCTGAATGAAAAAAAAAATGTAACGATCACACCATTTACTTACATAAAAAAAGTTTAAAAAAAATTACTTTTCACCTTCTAAAATATGTAGTTTTTTCCCTACAAAGTTACTGATAAATGTAAGCAATTTCAAGTAATGTCGTTACCTGGGACGGATTACGTAAGTCTCCATACCAGTAGAATCCAGCACCCTTATCGCGGTCGCTGTCGTCGTGATATAAATTGTAGCTGTTTACCAGATAACGAAACCGACGGGGCACTTACAATCTTTCTTTGGGTGCATAATCATCTCCGCTTCGATGATTTTTTTAGTCGGGTCATTGCGGCTTCTTCTAATAACTGGGCATTTTCTATAATCGGCAGCACACCCACACTCACGACAGTGAATACCCGAGTGTCCCAGTGAGTGTTGTGCATACCAAATGATCTGAGCGAGCCAGTTTGCAAATACATACAGCACATTCCAATCAGAGCGCAGTAAACAGTTAACGCAACAAACAAATTCCTCGTGTTTTTTTTTATTTTTTTTTTAAAGATTTTTAAAGGTTTTGTGCTAAAGTCGACATTAGTCGCTTGACAGGGGCAGCCAAAGGCTGGATAGCGTCAACTCCATCGTTTCCCCTTTGTCTGCATGCAGTTCCCCATCTTCCTGGATTCTCGCAACGTGAGCCACACGGCCTGCAGGGCCATGGTGCACGCCCTGCGGGAGCTGTCCAACCTGCTGCGAGACAACAGGTACCTCACGGGCTCCGAAATCACACTGGCCGACATCGCCGTGGCGGGCTCCCTGTCCCTGGCTGACGTACGCTTGCCCCACTTTTCTGTCTCCTCAACTCCGACTTTAGTTAAACCGTGGGCTCGGACAGACACTAAGCAAAAGGGGCCAATCGCAGGCTGCAAACGCCAAGTTGGGATGTCACTTTGACCTTATACACCAATTCATTGTTTACAAACGAGGGCATTTGCCCACAAAGTGTATAAAACCTACGCGCCCAACCTTTTTTTTTTTTTTTTATATGAAGATATTTGGGTGGAAAATCGGCGTTCGGCAGTGCAAGTTTATTTTTGTGGAGAAAAAAACCTTGCCATTTCTTGGGAGGGGCCACCCTGTAGGTCGAAATGCGAAATGGGCAGAGGTGGGGAGCGCGAGCTTTCACCCCACATGCTCCGAGCGTCGATGCGCCAACACTCGGCAACCGAAAAGACCAATCAAGTCTCTGCCCATGCCCAATTTCACCAGTGCTCCCGCCTTCTCGCACGCCTTTCAGTACATAATAAGGTAGTTCCCAAACTTGTGTGCACAGCTAAATGAAAGTTGCGTGTGACCACGCGCGTTTCTTTGTAAGTCGAATGTATTTGCACAAGTAGAATTTCCTGGGTTTCTTTTCAACACGGATGTTGTTTAGCAATAGGGCAAGACGCCCTGTTTCCCGATGAGTTTCCTCGCGTTGCTCGCTGACTTTAACCATGTATAAACATTAAGTTTTTTACTGTATTTCTTTTGTGTGTGACCCCCCCCCCCTCCCCTTCTTTTACACACACAGTTCACGTTTCGCTATACCGCAGACTTCTCATTGAAGATTCCCAAACACCGCTCCTAACGCTTGATTTGATTATAGCATAATGTCCTGAAAGTCTGGCATCTTGGAGCTTCCGGCGGCTCAGACCCTCCCTTCTCCTTTCCTGTCCACTATATACTCACCCCAAACGACATTGGCAGAGGTACCGCTCAAGAACAGAATAACAGTCGTTCTCAGAACCCTCGCAACGCAAATGAATGAATGACTGCGCAGTTAATTTTTGTGGTGCAAAAACACTTCGCTTTTCTCGGCTGTCCCCTATATAATCGTGACTACTTTTCTCGCCTTCCTTTGCGCGTTTGGTCTCCGCTATACTTTTGAATTCTTCAGCGCAGGTGTTAAGATACGGTTCCACGGCGACTCCAACCATGCGTTCCTCTTTCAGATGGTCGGCTTCAAGATGAACCAGTTCCCGAAGGTTCGCGACTACTATACCGCCCTCAAGAGGGACCTTCCCTACTTCCGCCAGATCAACGTCGTTCAAGTTTCAACGCTCAAGTGTTTTGCCCGCACGTAAACCTCTTTACGAACCATCCGTTCCGATGTTTTTAAAGGTTTCAATAAAGATTTTTAACCTTCGCCAAACGCTAGTCTGCCCAGATGTAGCGCTGGCGGTTCGAACTAACTGCCGAAGTTTTAGAACTAAGTTAGAATGATTTTCTGGATATTTCAGTGGGAAAAGAGCGACTGACTATAATCCTCGAATACATGGAGCTGAACAACGCCGTTACCGAGCATTTGAGTTTATTTGCGAGAGATTGTCGCGATTTCAGACCCAGTCCGCCTGGGTCTGAAATCGCGACGATCTTTCAGTTGTAACGGCTAAGGGCATCGCGCGAAATACTTTTGTAGAGTCCAGTGGTGAGCGCAGCGGGAATTCCGGCGGTGCACCGCATGGGTCTGAAATTAAGGCACCAGTTTGTATCCCGCCTGGAACTGCGCGGTTCCAGGCTGGATACAAACTTGTGCCCCAATTTTGGGTACAGGCGGAACCGGCATTTTTCATTCCGGCCTGTATCTGACATTTTCGTACGGGCCTCGTCGTCCCTGGTCGCCGGTTCGAATCATGTGTAACGTTCATCAGCCCGCTTGTTAACTAACCTTGTCTTCTCTGAGACTGGAACCTTTTCCTCATTGAAATTGTCAGAAAATTCCTTAACTTTTTTTAGATAACGGTTTTGAAAATTTGGCATCGGTTCGAACCGCGCTCCATTTGGGCCGAGGATGAGCGTCCGGCGGCGCTTCCACGTATCCCTGAGCATCATGGGCCGCCCCACAAATCTTGTTTAGTCGCCTGCAAAAACTGGACTATTTCCGTCTTGGCTGCTACATGGGATCGAAACGATCGGGTTGGTGAATGTGTTCTTTGAAGCGGTGTACGCAGTATTAATATACCCTCCCCCTTTGAAAAACAAAACTTTTTTTTACAATTTTTGGGTGAATGAACTGACAGTCACTGTTTTCTTTTTAATAATAAATGTAAAACATGTCCCCGGATATTCAAGGAAGTCATTTTCATTTTTACAGTATGTATATACAAATAAGCGCCCACCACATTTCTCGGGTTTCTGGGCGTTTCCGCGTTGAAGATACTCTACAGCTGCATTCCTGAGGTTTCCGGTGGCTTTTCTTCTCAACAGCAGTGCCCTTTTTGTTGCCATGTTACGGCAAAGGCTGTCAGTGTTGAGGGTCGCTATCATTTCGGAGAATTACGTTTCGTGGACAGATGGACACACGTTTCGTCGACGCGATCGTTTCATCGACACTCGTTACGCGAATTGAACGCTGTAAGGACACTTCGTAACGCATGCATCACTGTGGTGCGTGTCGTCCCCCCCCCCCCCCCTTCCAGTGGTAGGAAAACTCACTTAACTCACTTGACAAAAAAGCTTAGCCTATAGCTTATTTTGTGTGTGAATAAGCTTAGCTTATTCTCACACGGCAGAAGACTAACGAGAATGGTAGAACTAGTGATGATGACACAATATGTTATGACACTTCTAATAGAGGACACTAAACATGATAAGTCGACGGAATTAATTACAGACATAAAACGCGTAGCTATACTTCGTCTCACCCTACGATGGACTAAAGGCAAACGCTACGGACCGCCAGATCCAATCACGAGCCACTCAGAAATTGTGCGGTATTGAGCTTCGATGCACGTGTTGGTGCCCGCGTCTTGGATCACTGATGAGGGGACGGTGGACAGGAGGCACTCACTTGATCGAATGACGTTTTAGCGAACGCCCACGTTTCACCGAATGACACTTTAGCGAATAGTTAGACGCCGCGAAGCGGCGTTTTCTGGTGGGCCAATTGGGTTCACATTTTTGTAATGAGCTGCCGCAGGCTGTCGCCGCGATGCGGCGAAAGCGCAGCGCGGCGGATGGGTTAACGCGCGATCCCCATTATTCGCTAAAACGCCGATTCGCTCAAATGTCGCTGTTCGCTAAAACGTCATTCGCTCATGTGGTATGGACCCCGGATGGACAGTGGTTCAAATAGAAGAGCTCCGAGTGACTCAACGATTTCACATCGCAAAGAAAGCCACATAGGCTCTTTGCAGCGTCGAAACTATAGAAATGATGCGGCGCTTTTGGATTCGAGCATTATTCGTCCACCCCTAATCAATGTTAAGCGTGTCATAGTATAGCGTGGAACGTGATTGGACCTGGCGGCCCTTGGCTTTGGCCTTTAGTCCATCGTAGGGTGAAACAAAGTATAAGAATAGTGATCATGCATTTTTTTATTATTTATACATACTGCAGCCCCAGTGGGGCTATGGCAGGAATGGGAGTTAAACACAGACGGTCCAGACATCACTATAGACCACTGTCAACGGCACACAGAAATTCATCTGGTTGTAGTGATCGAATGTTTCCTGGTAACAAATTCCAGCGTTCAATGGTGTGAGGAAAAAAACTGTATTTAAACATATCAGTACGAGGATGAAAAGGTAAAATGTTTAATTCGTGGTGGCTCCTTGTTGCAGTTGGCTTGAGAAACTTTATGTAGCTACCTAAAGAGTCAAAACGTGATGAGTTAATCATGAAATACAGACTTTAGACGCTCAATACCACGACACTCAGAAAGAAGTCTTAGGCCTAACACGGAAAGGTTAGAAGGAGAAAAGTCTGTCAGACCGACGACCAATAAAACGTACCGATTTCTTTTGAACTGATTCGACTTTATTTATATCAGACTGTTTGTAGGGAAACCAAATAATAGAACTATATTCGAGGATTGGGCGAATCAAAGTTTTAAAAGTTAAAAGCTTGGTATCTTGTGGTGCCACACGTAAGATACGCCGCAGGGATCCAAGTCTTTTAAGAGATTTGTTACATGTCGTATCAATGTGCTCAGACCAAGATAAATCTGGCGTGAAAAGGAGACCAAGATATTTATATTCAAAAACTCTTTCTAGGCATAACCCGTCAAATGAATAATTAAACACAGAAGGTGATGAATGCCTAGAAAAGATCATAAAAACGGTTTTACGATAGCTCAGGTTCATTTGCCAGGTTTTACACCACGTACAAAAATTCACAAAAGAATTGTTAAGAGTTATATGGTCATCGGAGGAGTTTATCACGTGATATAGTACGCAGTCGTCAGCGTAAAGTCGTATCTTAGTGGAAATATAGCGTGGCAAATCACTGATGTATAACAGGAAAAGTAGCGGTCGAAGAACTGATCCTTGTGGAACACCTGATAATACATCAACTGTACTGGATTTGGATGAGTTAAAGTAAACAAACTGTGACCGACGAGAAAGAAAACTGGATATCCAGTTGACCAGGTGATGATTATTTAGAATTCGGTTAAACTCGTGTAGAAGTTTAGAATGAGGAACTGTGTCGAAAGCCTTTGACAAATCTATAAATATCGCATCAACTTGGTTACCGAGATCAAGAGACTGACCGATATCATGAACAAATTCTGTTAGTTTTGTCATAGTACTATAACCGCGTCGAAAACCATGTTGGAAATCGCATAAAGTATTGTTAGCATCGAGAAACTCCATTGCATGCCTGTAGACTATATGTTCCAATAATTTGCATGAATGTGACGTTAGAGAAATTGGTCTGTGGTTTGACAGTGATTGTGAGTTGCCAGATTTGTATACGGGAATGATTTTTGGGAGTTTCCAAGATGAAGGAACTGTGGCCGTTGACAGTGATTTCTGAAAAATAACCGTGAGATACCGACTGCACCATTGGGAGTACCGGACAACGAATGAATTAGGAATGTCATCAGGACCAGGACTTTTTTTAGTATCTAACTTCAAAATCAGGTTTAGTACACCCCGAACGTTCACATCTATGTCGTCAACCGCAGACTGCAAAACATGAGTAAAAGGAGGAACTTCGAAATTATCAACTGTAAATACTGACTGGAAGTATGTTTTAAACGCTGTAGCGATTTTCAGCACGTCCATGGTAGTTACGTCGTTAATTATAAACGAGTTTGAAGTCGTGCTGCCTAGTAAAACAGATTTCCAGAATTTTCGAGGGTTGCTTTTCATTAAGTTTTGCAATGTAACACAGAAATAGAAGTCTTTCGCGGAATTAGTTTTAAGTCGGAGTTCCTCCTTAGCTTGAATAAACTGAGCAGTCTTTACAGGGTCAGCGCAACGTTTTCCCCGCCACAGCCTGCCGACCCGTCGCGATAAATGTAATAATTCCCTTGTTATCCAAGAAGCGACAACGTTATTTTTTTTTTTTTTAGTTTTGAGTGGCACAAATCGCTGGATGCACGATTTAACCAAGTCTTCAAAAAATGTAACGAGTACATTCACGTCACTGGAAATACTAAGTTGTTCAAACACTTCAAAGGAATAGCTTAATGAGTCAGTTATGGACACGTCATCGGCACGGTTAAAATCAGGAAAAGTTTGGTAAGCAAAACGTGTTTTAGGAACAGAATAAGCAACAGAAACAAAGACTGCCTTACGATCTGATATACAGTCAACGACTTCACATTCGAAACGGTTTTCTAGAAGAGGTATACTAAGAAATACCAAATCTAAAACTGCCGACTCTCTCGTGCTCTCCTGAACAATCTGCTTTAAACCAAATGACAACGAAAAGTTCACTAACTCTCTAGATATTTGAACGTCAGGACCAGATAGCGAAAAAGACGACCACTGGATGCCAGGTAAATTAAAACCACCCATTAATATTAAGTTGGAAGAAGACAGGTTATGCTCGTACATAAAGTCACATAAAGCGTGTAACTGATCAATGGGAGAGCCGGGAGGGCAGTAGACAACGCCAACAACTGAAGATATATGTTCCACATTAAGTTTGCACCACACAGATTGAATCTGGAAAGGACCCTGTATTACTGAAAATTTAATATTGGTCTTTAAAAAGAGCGCGACGCCACCGCCACGCCCGTATACTTCCTATCACCTCTAACCACGCAGAAACCAGAGGGTGTAATTTCGATGTCATATATGCCATCATGTAACCATGTTTCAGTGACTCCAGTAATGTGAGCAGAGTGGGAAAAAATTAGTAACAG